GTCCCAGAAACACAAAGAAACATTTTGTAGGTACGTTTGAAAGCATGTCACTCCCAGGTGGTTCAGAATTTAATCTTGATTTTTCCTTATTAGGTCACTTCGTTTTTTTTGTTTTGTTTTGTTTTGAATAATTTTTGTTGAGAAAGATGTTAATATTTTCCCACAGTAAAAGATTTCAAACTTTACTTTTTTGTTACTTTTTAAAACTCATGCTGTGGTTTCTCTTTGAATCAAATGAAGTAGAAATTTACAAAGCTAACTTTCTTGTTGTCTGGGCATTAACATATTTTGTTGAATGCATGTTTTTCAGCCAAAGCCTTGTTTCTATTTTTTGTTGATGTGTACTTTTGCTCTTTTAGCTAAAGTGTATGTGAAAATAAAGAAATATATCATTGTATTCACAACTGTGTCTACTTTTTAAATCTCTTATTAAACAATTTAGAGTCCAAGTTCAGCTTATTGATAGTGTGCTTTGACTTTAGTTAAGGCTAGAAAAATGCTACTCACCCAGCATCTGCCACAACTCTGTATTGAAACTTTTCTCCTGATGTCAGTGTTCATCTTTACCAGGATTTAGTTTATAGAATTGTTTCTCAGTTCTGCCTTTCTCCTGTTCCAGATTACTATCCTTTTGACCATCTCTTCAAGGGTTCACAAAATCCAAATAGATTGGCATTATTTTTATTTTTTGTCTTGTTTCATTTTTAAATTTTAAAAATTTTAATTGAACTGTTTATTTTTATTTTAAAATATACTTTTTAAAATATTTAATTTTGAGAGAGAGAGAGAGCACAAGCAGGGATGGGGGGAGAGAGAGAGGAAGACACAAAATCCAAAGCAGGATAAAGCACTTAACCGACTGAACCACCCAGGCACCCCTAAAATTTAATTTTTTATTTTACTTTCTCTACACCTATGCCCTCATGTCCACTGATTCATTAGGAATGATGTCAGCATCATATTAGAGGGATTGATGGAAAGCCAATGGTTGGAAACATTTCAATGAATCTTAACAGTGATCCTTTGAGAACCATCAAGGATAACATTTGGACATAGATTTTGGGGAGTGGGGGTGAGGAAAACAGTTTTGTAAAGTCCTTCTGATGGTTGTATGAAGGGCCTATGTAAATCAGTTATAAGTGTATTAGAGTTAGTCGGATGTCTCTTGATCTTTTCATATGAAATGCAGGAAAGTGTGTTTTCAGTCTTTTTTTTAATGCTCATAGCCATTCCAAAGTAAACTTTTTCTTCAGCACTTTCACGTACATAGTTACGAATCATTGTTTTTTTTCTTTTCTTTTTTTTTTCACTTATCACCAATTTATTTCTTTCAGCCAGACTTGGTCTCTATAGGAAGAGAAATTTTAAGACCATTATTAAAAACAGTACAGTAGTCCTCCCTTATCCATGGCTCCAGTGATCCATGGTCAGCTGCAGTCCAGAAGCAGATGTTCCTCAGAAGGTAATAGCTTAACACTATGTCACAATGCCTACGTCATTCACGTCACTTCACCTCATCACAAGAACAAGAGGGATCAGTAAAGTATGTTTTGTGTGTGTGTGTGTGTGTGTGTGTGTGAGAGAGAGAGAGAGAGAGAGAGACAGAGACCACATTCACATAACATTACAGTATATTATAACCGTTCTATTTTATTATTGTTGTTGTTAATCTCTTACTCTGCCTAATTTATAAATTAGACTTTATCGTAGGTATGTGTGTATAGGAAAAAAAATAATATATACAGAGTATAGTACTATCTGTCATTTCAGGTGTCCCCTGGGAGGATGGATAAGGGTCGGGGAACTATTGTATTTATCATATGGTTTAAATGTATTCTAATTTTTTGATGTTAGTTATTTTGTTTAATTCTTGATTCACTTCTATTTTTCCATTTTTTTATATGTTTAAAAACACATGTCTCATTTTAGTACTGCTTTATTTAAAGAAAAATGTCTCCTCCCTGCAAGATCTTCATTAATTATAAAGGGAAAAATAATAACTTTACAATAATGAAACCTGGCAGACATCTCCTTAATCAAATGCTCAATGTTAACATAATCACTAAGAGAAAAAAAATCAACATCAGGTGCGTCTTGACATGTATACTGAGAAAAACAGTATCACTTCTGTGAGAATCCTGCCCCCAAAAAATGCATAACCTGAATCTAATCATGAGGAAACATTAGACAAACCCAAATTGAAGGATGTTCTGCAAAGTCACTGCCCTGTATCCTTTAAAAATGTCAAAGTTGTAAAAGGCAAACTGCTTCAGACTAAGAAGACATGCCAGCTGAACACAATGTATGACTGGGAGTTTCTTTTTCTGTGAAGAACGTGATGAGAATAATTTGTGAAATTTGAAAAGGGTCTGTAGCATTGAATCATTTTTAACTTCCTCATTTTGAGAAGTGTATTGTGTTTATATATAATAACCTTGTTTTTAAGGAACTAGATGTATGTATGTTTACTATTGTGTGTGTGTTAGGGTGGGGGGGGCAGGTAGATTGGGAAGCAAAAGCACAGGTGGCTATGTAAAATGTTAACATTTGGGGAATTTCAGTGAAGGGTACATGGGAATTTTTTGTATTGCTCTTGCAGCGTTTCTCTAAATCTGACATTATGGCCAAAAAAAGTTTTAAAAAGTTCCTTTTCATTGAACAGATTCAGATATTTTTACCAAGCAGAATATTGGATTTGGGTACTTAATAGAAATACAGAATATATAATCCCTGCCTGTAAGTAACTAAAAGCTAAGCAAGCTTTTTTTTCCCCACAGACTCCTCCAGAAGGTTATCTTATTGTCATAGAAATGTCACAGTCTAAAAAAAAAAGTACCTTTTATATTTGTCAGAGGGGATCTTGGTTATGCTTCTTGTGGTAGGGGAAATGAAGCACTATATTAAGTGTAATGGGATAGCCACAATTCTTTTCTAGTGTTTTTTTTTTTTCCTTGTGGAGGAAATTGCCTGTCTCCCGACGCATAATATCGGAACGTTTTACTCTAACTTCATGTGCTCTCTTTTCTGTGTCAGGTAAGCAGAAAAATTTCCAAGATTCAGAATTCATGTAGACTTGTCCAGAGCTTTACCAAACTTTTATTTAAAGATAATTCAGACTGGTAAACGTGGCTCTCCATTTTTTTGTTTAGAGTTCAAACTATCGTTTTTTGTTCATTACTGCTTCTTCCAGGCCACGCAATACCTTATCTTTTTGTAAAAGCCAGTTTCTTTCATCTTTTCCCCACTGTGTGTTCTCTCTTCACATTTGCTCTTTGTTCTACAGTTTTCCCTATGGGTTTTAAAACAGTCTCCCCTTTCTCAAGCAAGCAATCATCTCCCTCTCCTTCCAGGCTATTTCTACAGGAGGACTTTCCAGTGCCTGGGTGTGTAGGGTTAGCCTGTAGCAACATCCTCTGCACATCAGGCATTTGCACACACAAATTTCCAGAATGCCTGCCTCAGTGTCCCCTCACTCTTGGGTGTTTTTCTCTGAGCAGGACCATGCTTTTGTGTGCTGGTTTGCATGTGTGCTGATATTCTTCAAACACTATTTATAAAGTTTTCTTTCTCATCTTTGACTCTTCACCTTCTTCAGTAGGTGGCGACAATCCCAGTGGTTTATTTGCCTGTTCCCCGATTTGGTGTTGTGATGCTCTCAGTACCACTCTTTGTAATAAAGGGTTTTAATAGAATAGTTTCTCATGTTATGACATGTTTGTGTAAAACCCAGGAGCAGAAATTAAAACTTGTCGTTTGCACTAATCGTTGATCTTTCAGTGACTTTTAGCTTTTAAGAAATTTATTTCTATATTTTCTTCCATCTATATGTCCCCTTCTATGCCCATTTGGAAGAGGAAACACAAGGAGGTGTTTTCTCTACATCATTTCCCCCCACTGGATTTGCCATTGCCAATTCTAATAGTTCTGAACCCAGAAGACCCCAAGAAACACAAAGCCTGCAGCCACACAGTGGGAATTTCACTCTATAGAACACATTTTGTGAATATCCACTAAAGGGCTGTTCATTTTCTTGTGCTTCCTGTGCTTATGTGTATGCACACAGGAGGGAGTATTATTGCTGGGGTGGGAAAAACAGGGAATTTAGATTCAATTTTTATCCCTGGATCTTTGCTATGGTCTAAATGTTTGTTTCCCCCCCAAATTCCTATGTTGAAAACCGAATGCCCATGGTGACAGTATTACCTGGTAGGGCCTTTGGGAAGTGATTAGGCTGTGAGGGTGGAGCCCTCGTGAATGAGATTAGTGCCCTTATCAAAGAGGTCCCAAAGAGCTAGTTAATCTCTTCCACCACGTAAAGATATAATAAGTCTGCAACCCAGAAAAGGACTCTCATCCAACCATGCTGTCACCCTGATCTCAGATTAACAGCATCCAGAACCGTGAAAATAAGCTACCTAGTCCGGTATTTTGTTATAGCAGCCTGAATGGACTAAGACAATCTCGACAAACAATAATCAGTAATGCTTCTCTTCACCCTAGAAGTGCAGAAAGACATCATTTCTGCCTGATTGACTATTTGAAATTATATTGACGGGGAGGAGGGGCGGGAGGGGGTAGCTTTCTTGTGTACCAGGTACTACCTAGAAAAAGAAGTTAAATGTTTTCTATTAAGAAAGGAATTAAATTTACACGTGTCTTTTGTAAGTCACAGTTAGTGTTTTGGCAAATAATATGACCACTCCCTTATATCAGTTTTAGGAATAATTAGCCTGCCTCACATTGGTGTCAGTTTGTGTTAGCTCAGAGACTACTGGTGCTATGATCAGTACCTGCCGACAGAAGATAAGCTGTATCCCATAGCATTTAGCAGTAAAAAAAAGAAAAAATTTAAAAAAAATTCCTGTTTGGAGGTAGAGGAGGATGCAATCAGGGCAGCAAATTCAAAAATGCTTCCTATTGGGGGAAGTATTTAGGCAAAGTAATGCATCTTAATTATACTGGTGATATATGACTTCTTCAATTACTAACTCAATATTCACCTTCATTTGGTAGAACCGTGTAAGTAGTTTCCATTCCAGCATGAATGTGATCAGTCACATGGCAGTGGAGTAACCAGATTCCAGGTGTTTTTGGAAACATTTCTAGAGTTTGGAAGGTCCCAGGGAAAATGTCGAAGACATCAGACCTATAGATGCCCCTGTGCTTAATTAGAAAAATGACAAATATTATATAATGTTTATTATATGTGAGAGTTCATTCAAGTAATCTTTCATGGGCCATTTCAAGGATATTAGAAAAATGGATGAATCTGATAAAAAAAAAAAAAGAATCAGACCCTGTGCATTTGACCCTGTGCATTTCTATGTCTAATACAAACAGTGAGATATGTGGTCTTTGTACTCCTGCTAAATGCCTGGGGGGATGGTCCATTTAGTGGGTGTGAAGGAAAAATGTGATAAGAGTGAACTCATCCATTAGGACCACCTGGCATCTCTTACACTTCAACTCTGGTTTGCCTTTTTATCAGAGCACTTGAGTTACAAAAGGGAATTTAGCTCTGGCCTTATTTCAGTCCTAATCTCACATTTGCTGGACCTATTCTAGATTAGCTGGTCTGTGAAACTTTACGACAAGGAGGGTAATGCAGGGAGCAAAAAAAAAGGAGGCCAGTGGAGAAGCCAGAACCAGGGTAAGTTCAGGTAGAGTCTAGATTAGACACAGATACTTGGAGGGTATTTCTGTAGGGACAGAATTGAAAGTCCAATAGGAATATATCATCTATGTGAACCAAAGTACATATAACAAAATGGCCTTTTCTGCAATGGGCTTTGTGGTAGCTTCTGACTTTTCTACATTAACTCAAAAGTAAGAAAAAGGAGCTATTGACTCCTGCTGAAATCAGCACTGAGAAGTAGAAGTAGCATTGAGATCTAGGGACCTAATCAGTTGCATGACACCAAAATGATCTTCTCGTTCACTTCAGGCCATTTAGGATTCAGAAATTAGAATAAGTAAAGGTTATAATAAAGTCTTGTCTCCACGTTCTGATTCATCATTATATGAACATTCCTAACCTCTCTGCCAACAATTCTATTTGAATGCCTTGCCCAGGAATATGTGAGCAGAACTCCATGCAAACCCACTAAAAACTGTAAATCCAAGGAGAAGCCCAATGTGTTACAAAGGGTGGTAACAGCAATTGAAATTGCTGTGTGCCACACTCCTTGAAAATAATTTAGTTGTCTCTTGAAACCTCTAACTTTTCATTAGTCTTCCTGAGGATATATTTTCTTTATTTGCATTCAAACATTTTCCAAAAGAGCAAGAATAAAGACCGTGGATCACTCCTACCTTGTATCCGAAGCTGTGGCCGTGAAAATGTACAGAGTGCAAGTCTATTTCATTGCCCATTCCCATCAGATACCAATTGACTTCATCTCCCACATGCATTGTGAGGCCTTGTAGGTTCCCGAACATTCTTCCATTAATAGCTGAGGAAAGCACATGACTTTTTTTACCTTCCAGGATTTTTTATTCAAAACAATTTTTTTAAAGTTTATTTATTTATTTTGAAAGGGAGAATATGAGTGGGGGAAGTGCAGAGAGAGAGGGGAACTGGGGATCTGAAATGGGCTCAGTGCGCACAGCAGAAAGCCCGATGCAGGGCTTGAACTCATGGACCACGAGATCATGACCTGAGCCAAAATCAGATGTTTAACCGACTGAGCTACCCAGGTGCCCCTACCTTTTGGGATATTTTAAATCAACAATTATTTCACTGAAAATATGATTACTAGGTTAACGTATGGGATCTTTTTGAGGTAGTGGGAATTACTTCACTACAGATGGGGAAATGAATACTTAAAGGTCAGTAATGTCGCATTGCTCTTCTAGTCACTTAGTGCTAAAAGCCTTTATCCTAATTGTGAATTTAAAAGGGAATGACACTTTGGAATTGGGAGAGAAGTTAATAGATGGTTTTGCAGAGAGTCCCCTTTTTGCTTTGAACAGAATTCTACCTCACAAAGTGAGGCAGAATTGGTTTATTATAAAATGAAACAAATAATTGGGACACCTGGGTGGCTCAGTCAGTTAGGCGTCCGACTTTGGATTAGGTCATAATCTCGCGGTCCCTGAGTTTGAGCCCCGCGTCCGGCTCTGGGCTGACAGCTCAGAGCCTGGAGCCTGCTTCGGATTCTGTGTCTCCCCCTCTCTCTGCCCCTCCCCCATTCATGCTCTGTCTCTGTCTCAAAAATAAATAAACGTTAAAAAAAATTTTTATAAATAAAAAAAATAAAATGAAACAAATGAATAGTCTCCAAACTAATTTTATTTGAAAGAAAAAAAGGGAAAAAATGGGGTTTAAAACAATGTATCATACCGTGCATCTTATTGCTTTCTATGAATTCCTCATCATCTTTGTTTACTTTCTCAGGGTGCTCAGAGTAAGTTTTGATGTTGTCATCTATATACCAGGATTCATTTTCATCAAAAACAAAAAACAGAAGAGAAAATTCCAGTTTCGTTATAGGATTGAATATTTTCATGTAATGTGTCCGACAAACAATCAATGGGCCAATTAATCCACTATAAAGATCCTGAAAACAAGCAAAAACTTCAGTCATCCTTGTGATGTAGGTCAGCATTTCAGAGAACTGGGACCTCAGGAATTTAGAAGGACTGATTTAAATAGTAGACGTGGACTAATGTGGTGCTGTCAGGCCAGTCACTTCCCACTTGTAGTTAAACTGGATGAATGGTGAGTAGTAGGTAGGTCGGACGGGTGATGCTGAAGTAACAGAAATGTGTGCAGAGGCCAAATATTGGCTCAGCTACTGAGCAGTATGTACGTATGTATGTATGTGGCAATTTAAAAGAACCCCAAATAAACAGTGCTTGTCCGCCTATTCCATCTAGCAAGCACCATGCCAGTATTTATTTATTTATTTTTTTTTTTAATTTTTTCGCGTTTACTGTTGGCTGGGACAGAAAACGGGGAAGGAGCGAAGAAAACTCAGGCTCAACCATCGACCCAGAGCCCGGCGAACTCGACGAGATCGTGTTCAGCTGAAGTCGGACGCTTAACCGACTGCGCCACCCAGGCGCCCCACCGTGCCAGTATTTAAATAACCAGAGATAATCAAACAAAGCCCCTGCCGTCCAGGAGCTCAGTCAGTAGGGAAAATAGAGGATAGAAGAAATGGATCACTTGTTGTGATGGAGGTACATGAAGTGCTAATGAACATGGAGGAAGAAGACCATGATTGACTTTAGTCTATGGGAAGTTTGATTTGCCTGGGTGTCAGGAATGGCCTGTGAGGTCTGGAAGGGACTTTGAGCTGTATCGTGTTCAGGAATTTTAGATTTTATCTCAGGGGTCATAGGTAGCCACTGAACATTGAACATGGAATGGCAATATATTTGCATTTTAGGCCAGTCATCCTAGTGGTGGAGTGAAGGAAGGATTGAAGGAGGAAGAGGCTGGAGCCTGGGAGACCACTGCAGTAGTCAAACGAATGACAAGGACATGATCTATGGAGACAGAAGGAATAGACTGAACTACATGTAGGTGGGTGAATCACCTGGGTGAGCCAGGTGGAAGAATCAGACACTTCCTGCCCAACATTCTAGCTTGAACAAATGAGTAGATTTGTAACTCATGGTAATACTTATTGCAACAGGAAACACAAGAAGAGGTGGAGAAGAATCTCAATTCCGTTTTAGAGTTGCTGTGTTTCCAGTGCCTGTGGGACATGCTGGTAATGTTCAGTAGGCTGGTGTATGGGCAGGTCTGGAACTCAGGAGAGAGATTTGGACTCGAGATTTAATTCTACGAAAGAATCTTGGAACAAGTTCTGTTTTGCAGTTGTTGAGCGATTTGTTGGCTTTGAAATATTTAAATCACATAGCCTTAATTGTGCTGGAATGACTCCTGAGATCAACATTTTTATTACCAGGCAGTAATAGAGCTCTGAAATCACGTACCTCAGTTCTTTGAGCTTAATGTGTTCTTATATCAAAAGGAAAATAAAATACTGTATTGATTAGTATTTGATTCTGCATTACCCATAACCAGCAGTCATAGTGTTGATACAGCTTTAACTGTATCCTTAAAAAGAAACAAACCAAAAAATGAAACCAAAGTAAATTGTAGAGCAGCTTACTTACTTTCCTGGGACTTTAAGATGGAATTGGGTCATAGGAAAACTGTAATCTCATCTTCCTTCAACGGTGTGTCTATTTGGGGGATTTGTACAAAACACAGAGGATCTAAATTTTACCTTAACTTGATCCACCGTTGAATAGTAAGCCCATGGAATACAAGCAGAATCCTCTGTTCCAGCTCCAGATCTTTCTGGGATTTTCCATATGTATGTGTGAGTTTCACCTAAATTAATCAAATGTTAATGTATCTGGGTTTTTTGGTTATATATATTTATATATATACATACATACATACACACACACTAAGTCTTGAGAACGAGTGACCTAGAAACTGGAAATGTCAAGGTAAGTAGTTTTAAAAAGCAATGGCACTCAATTATTTTCAGGAATTTAGTTTAAAGACAAACTGTAAGACATAGACTTACATAGACTTACATAGACTTACTGACATAGAAAGACTTTTAGACTTTGTCAATTATGAATTAACTAGCCATGACAAACATGTACCGCCAAGCCAGGAGGTGGCAATACCAATATCACAATTTGGGGGAACTTTGGAACAGATCTTTTTTTTTAGCTTGAACTATGTTTCTGTAAAACACCATTTTCAACTCTCAAGTGATTTCCCCCAGTGTAAGACCCTTCCCCAAGACGTCTCTGTGTTTGTATCTGGACTGCCCCGAGTAATTCCCTTGGCTTCACCATGGCCTTCCTTTTCTCCTTTTTCACTATCATCCCTAGCAATTCCACAGTTTCTGGTGAGGAGCCATTAGATTTCGTGACCTCGTCTCTGGTCTGTCTCATTCTGTTGTACAATACGCTGCTCTGTCACGGCTCTGTCACATACAGGACACCACCACACCTTGGACCTTGACACTTTGGAGATAGCCAGTTACTCTACCCTCCCTGTTGCCAAGGTCTTTACCTTCTTCCATTTGCTCTGGGCTCTTTTCCAGTCTGATGTCTGCTTCTAGTCACCTCAGGGATTGCTGTCCCACTGCTCACCAGACCCTGACTTTCAGCTGTGGCCACCCACTGTCCACTCCATTTATACAGACCTCACCATTACATATAAATGCTGGCAGCCTTTAGTTAGCCAGAGTCTGACAAGCCTTTTCTAGGGAATCAAGCGGGACAGGAGGGGTGGTCTCAAGGGATGCAGTAGACTCTTTCCGTCTTCCTCAAGTCCCGCATCCTACCTGCCCCTACCTCCTCACCCTTTTTCTAAGCAGAACATTTCACTGACAATATGGCATACATTCACTACCTGAACATATTGTCTCTTCATCTATGCTCTTATTCTCATAAGCCCCCAAATAATATTTCCTCCTCTTCTCCATTCCCCAACCTGCTCTGCCACTCATGGTAGATGCCCAAAACCTTGGTACTGTCCTTGATTCCTCCTTCCCTAACCTGCCCTAATGCCCAACCTTTCAGCAGGGGCTGTTAGCACCACCTTTAAAGTAGAACCGAATATGACAACTCACCACTTCAGCTGCTTCCACCCTGGTCCAAGCCTTATTATTATTTTTTTTTAACCCAGATTATGGCAATAGCCCTCTAATTGCTCCTTGATTCCGCCCTTTTCCTCTGTAGTCACTTACCTACACTTCAGCCACCAGAGGCCTTTACAAAGTGTTCATCAGATCATCATTCTCTGACTCAAATCTTCACATGGTTAATAGTATAAAATCTAAGGTCCTAACCTTGGCCTCTGAGGTTCCCCTTCTTCCTACTGCATCCGGCCCCTGCCCTCCCTGGATCTTATCATGTCACATTCTGTCCCCCCGTTTGCTCTGCTCTGGCCTCTGGCCTCCTTGCTGTTTCTCAGACAAACCAAGCCCTTTACCATCTCACAACCTGGGGTGCTCTTCCCCTATAAGTAAGTCCCTGTGGCTCATTACTTACCATTTAGGTATCTTCACCACTGGCGCTTTCTCAAAGAGGGGACTTCCTGACCACCCTACCTAAAATACCACCCTTGTTACTCTCTCTCATCTGCTGTAATCTTTAGCACTTTTCACAGCTTGGTATTATGTACACATTTTATTGTTTATTTCTTTTGGAAGAATGTGACACTCACAGGGAAGGGCTTTTTATCTCCATTCCCCTAAACTGACCTGAGCAACTTCATAGAGTAATTTATTTTTTCTCACTCATTTTTTTCTCACTCATTTGACATATTTGGGAACTGTTAGATTACTAAGAAATGGCACTTTCCAAGAAAGCCAACTTTACAACTAATAGAAGAAAAATATAGTTTTTAATTAAAGTAAAAACACACATGTATTTCATCTGTTCTGGCTTTTACACTGTGTTAAAGTTATTGAGTTCCTAGTACATGCCAGATATGGGGCTAGAACTGAAGGCTTTAAAATGTCACATGGCAGTCTCTGCCCTTAGGATCCTGCCTTCAGATACAAGGCATGGAAGCATTCAACCACACACAAGTGTAGTAAATGCTGTCTTGGCGTGGAGGGATCATTTCTGCTGACTCAGCCTTGAGTATCTGTAGATGCCCAGTATCCTCAGATCTTTTCCTCACATTTCTCCTGTGGATCTTTCTCTTCTTCTCTCCTTCCCTCCCTCCTTCCTCCCTCCCTCCCTTCTTTCACTCCTCCCCTCCTCTCTTCCCTCCCCTCATCTCCCCTCCCCTCTCCTCTCATGTGCATGGAGACATACACACAGATACGCATCTCTGTATACTCTCTTAACCACCTCCTTCACTTTCTCAAGACACTCATTTGGAAGGAATACCTCTCTGATAACAGCCATTTGTGGAAAGCCTGTAAAGTCTACTAAAATGCATGAAATGCAACACCCCCCACCCCAATGAGTACCTGGTAAAGTTGGAGTAACTATAGAATCCTCTGTTTTCACCCCATGGGCATGTATTGAGTAAGGCCTTGTGGCCATGTTTTTAAAGATAATTACAACTTTGTCTCCAACATTTGCATGAAGTTGTGGACCTGGAAATAGCAAAAAAGAAGAGTGGTTTATATGCTTGTCAGATTGGAGGTTCTAACTCAGTAATAGAAGCAAAGACCAGGTAGCTTTCTTAGCATGAAGGCCAGAGTCTGTGTCCCCCACCCCCTCCACTGTGGCTTCATGCTTTACTGTTAGGTTTATATCTGGCCTCAGAGGATTCAGAATAAAAACACTAGTAATGATTGCCGCTACAGATGGAAGCCAGGGATGCATCTCTCATCAAGAGTCCTACTGGAGGTTTTGGCCTGAAAGTCCCCTGCAGGACAGTGGCCTAGCCCTGGTGAGCCAGCTGTGACCCTACCCTGGCCAGAAGTCATTGTGCAGCACTTGCTCTCATTTCTTAGCAGTTGGGCTTCCAGAACTTCCTGAGTGTGAATTGATGGCAGTACTGCATTTAGAAGGGTGAGCGGGGCTAGCCTTCCAATTTCCACCCCCTCTCTAGCCAATCTTAGCTTGTCTGCTGCTTAGAGAATTTCTGTGACCCAGCAACAATGCCATTCCCCTTGGGTGTCTTATTCCAGGGGCTAAGGGTAATCAAATCCCAGGGTACTCTGTTAGTATGGAAATAGAGTGGGGTTGGGAGTGATGTCCCCTGCACTTGATGATTTTCAAGAAACTTCCCAAGAGCAGTGTTGGTCAAACTCTTAGACATTCTCTTTTTTTTTTTTTTTTTTTTTTTTTTTTTTTTTTTTTTTTTTTTTTTATTTTTTTTTTAACGTTTATTTATTTTTGAGACAGAGAGAGACAGATCATGAACAGGGGAGGGGCAGAGAGAGAGGGAGACACAGAATCGGAAGCAGGCCCCAGGCTCTGAGCCATCAGCACAGAGCCCGACGCAGGGCTCAAACTCACAGACCGCGAGATCATGACCTGAGCTGAAGTCGGACGCTTAACCGACTGAGCCACCCAGGCGCCCCAGACATTCTCTTTTAAAATGGTTCCTGAGGGGCGCCTGGGTGGCTCAGTCGGTTAAGCGTCTGACTTCAGCTCAGGTCATGATCTCATGGTTCGTGGGTTCAAGCCCCACATTAAGCTCTGTGCTGACAGCTTGGATCCTGGCACCTGCTTTGGATTCTGCATCTCCCTCTCTCTCTGTTCCTCCCCTGCTCTCACTCTCTCTCAAAAATAAATAAAGATTTTTAAAAAATTTAAAATGGTTCCTGAAAAATGGAAGGCAACTTTTCCCATGCCTTGTGCACGGTAACACTTTTTCCTATATTTCCTGGTCTACATCTACATTTCTTTTTCTTGGCGTTACTCACTTACATGGCAATTTTAAAGCAAACAGCGATGACTTGGGAGTGGGATGAGGGGTGGAATAAGAGGGAGAAATTTTCTTTTCTCAATGTATAATAATAAATTGTTCATGAGAGAAATAAGCAATATTTTTATTATGCCATATTCTTTAGTGCGTATAGGCTCCTTGTTTTTATTGCATAAATTTTACTTTCATTTGAATACCTTTGATCTATGAACTGGGAAGTTAAACCCAGGGACACGTATTTTAATGTACATAGCACCACATCGTTACCCCACCCCTGATGATTAGAGTACCTAGAATTCCCAGGTGTTCTTCTTTAGCCTTCCTTTCCACTGGAACTCTGAACGTGCTGTCGGTGTATTGCCGATACACAACTTTCTTGTACTTTGAGCCTATGTAAAATTCTTCCTTATCTAAAAATGCATTTGAAACACTTAAACAAAACACACACACATCTGAGGTTAGTATCTGTCTTAATGAAAGTAAAAGTTGAGTTTTAAATCTTGAATACAGTTTTTATTTAAGTAATTATGCTAATTTTTAATATCACTCTCACATTCCAGCAATAAAGAATAATTTAGAAATACATAGGGGTGCACTATAAAGGAGAACTAAAGACGAATTTCCCTGATGAACATGGATGCAAAAATCCTCAACAAGATACTAGCCAACCAGATCCAACGATACATTAAAAAAACTTATTCACCATGACCAAATAGGATTTATACCTGGGATTCAGGGCTGGTTCAATATCCATAAAACAATCAATGTGATACATCACATCAATAAAAGAAAGGACAACAACCACGTGATCCTCTCAATAGATGCAGAGAAAGCATTTGACAAAATACAGCATCCTTTCTTGATAAAAACCCTCAAGAAAGTAGGGATAGAAGGGTCATACTTTGAGATCATAAAAGCCATATATGAATGACCCAACACTAATATCTCCTTAATGGGGAAAAACTGAGAGCTTTCCCCCTAAGGTCAGGAACAAGACAGGGATGTCCACTCTCGCCACTGTTATTCAACATAGTATTGTAAGTCTTAGTCTCAGCAGTCAGACAACACATAGGAATAAAAGGCATCTAAATCGTCCAGGAGGAAGTCAAACATTCACTCTTCGCAGATAACATGATACTATATACGGAAAACCCAAAAGATTCCACCAAAAAACTGCTAGAACTGATCCATGAATTCAGCAAAGTCACAGGATATAAAATCAATGCACAGCAATCAGTTGCATTCCTATATACCAATAATGAAGCAACAGAAAGAGAAATCAAGGAATCAATCCCATTTATAATTGCACCAACAAACATAAAATACCTAGGAATAAACATAAGCGGAGAGGTGAAAAATCTATACACTGTAAACTATAGAAAGCTTATGAAAGAAATTTAAGAAGACACACAAAAAAGGAAAGATAATCCATGCTCCTGGATTGGAAGAACAAATATTGTTAAAATGTCAATACTACCCAAAGCAATCTACATATTCAATGCAATCCCTATCAAAATAACACCAGCATTCTTCACAGAGCTAGAACAAACAATCTTAAAATTTGTATGGAACCAGAAAAGAACCTGAATAGCCAAAGCAATCCTGAAAAAGAAAACCAAAGGGGAGAAATCACACTCCTGGCTTCAAGATGTATTACAAAGCTGTAATCAAGACAGTATGGTACTGGCACAAAAACAGACACTCAGTCAATGGAACAGAATAGAGAACCCAGAAATGGACCCACAAACATATGGCCAACTAATCTTTGACAAAGCAGGAAAGGATATCCAATGGAATAAAGACAATCTCTTTAGCAAATGGACAGCGACATGCAGAAAAATAAACCTGGACCACTTTCTTACACCAGACACAAAAATAAACTCAAAATGGATGAAAGACCTAAATGTAAGACAGGAAGCCATCAAATTCCTAGAGGAGAAAGCAGGCAAAAACTTCTTTGACCTTGGCTGCAGCAACTTCTTACTCAACATGTCTCCAGAGGCAAGGGAAGCCAAAGCAAAAATGCACTATTGGGACCTCATCAAAATAAAAACTTCTGCACAGCAAAGGAAACAATCAGAAAAACTAAAAGGTAACCAACGGAATAGGAGAAGATATGTGCAAATGACATATCAGAAAACAGGATAGTATCCAAAATCTATAAACTTCTCAAACTCAACACCTAAAACAATAATCCAGTGAAGAAATGGGCAAAAGACAGGAATAGACACTTCTCCAAAAAAGACATACAGATGGCTACCAGACCCATGAGAAAATGTTCAACATCACTTTTCATCAGGGAAATACAAATCAAAAGCACAATGAGATATCACCTCACACCTGTCAGAATGGCTAACATTAACAACTCAGGCAACAACAGATGTTGGCAAGGATGCAGAGAAAGAGGATCTCTTTTTCCCTGCTGGTGGGAATGAAAACTGGGGCAGCTACTCTAGAAAACAGTATGGATGTCCCTCAAACAGTTAAAAATAGAACTACCCTGCAACCAAGCAATTGCACTACTAGGTAATTTACCCAAGGGATACAGGTATGCTGTTCCGAAGGGGCACATGCACCCCAATGTTTATAGCAGCACTATTAACAATAGCCAAAGTATGGAAAGAGCCCAAATGCCATCGATGGATGAATGGATAAAGAGGAGGTGGTATACATATACAATGGAGTATTACTCAGTGATCAAAAAGAATGAAATCTTGCCATTTGCAACCACGTGGATGGTAACTGGAGGGTATTATGCTAAGTGAAATTAGTCAGTCAGAGAAAGACAAATATCATATGAATTCACTCATAGGAGGAATTTAAGATACCAAAGAGATAAACATAAGGGAAGGGAAGCAATATATATAATATAAAAAGAGGGAGGGGGAAAAAACATATGAGACTCTTAAACATAGAGACCAGAGGGTTGCTGGAGGGGTTTTGGGAGGAGGGATGGCCTAAATGGGTAAGGGGCATTAAGGAAGACACTTGTTGGAATCAGCACTGGGTGTTATACATAGGGGTTGAATCACTGGAATCTACTCCTGAAATCATTGTTGCACTATATGCTAACTAACTTAGATGTAAATTAAAAAATAAAAGATTAATTAAAAAAAAAAAGAAATAGATAGGGGTGGTAAAAAGGAAGTGGAGCCATCTGAGTGCTGGCCCTGACTCTTCCATTAGATAATGACCTCCAGCTAGTTATTGCCTGTTGCAGCCTCAGTTTCCTCATCCCTAAAATGAGGTATGAGATGAGATGATCTCTAAGGTTTCTCTACAGTTCTAAAATTCTGCACCCATATTTCATCAGTGAAGTGTTCTCTCATTACTTTTGTCTGGTTTATAAGAACTGAAGTGGCCCAGTGTTCCCAGCCACTCCCTTTATCTAACGTTTTCATTGACTCTTCATGGCTCCTTCAGCCTTTTGACTATTTTACCCCCATCACTTGAAATAACCTTTTACTCCTTTACACTGCAGTCAAACTAACCAGCTAACCTTTGCTTAGCTATAGGCTACCAGTCATTTTGTACACCCCAGATCTGAACACATGCCCATCTCGATCTCTCAAATCCTTTCCAGGAAAGGTTAGTACATGGCGTATGAGGTGATAGAGGGAAAAGTGGTCAAAAAGTCTAAAAGAAGTGTCAAGTGATACTGTTTTAAATGTAGTTTCTGAAGCTCTAATAATGATCATTTACTTACATTTATTCACAATGAACATACTTTTAACATCCATCATGTACATGTTATTGGCGGTTTTGAACCATATTTTCCCTATAAATTCTTGGAGGACAGAGATCATGTCTACTATACTGCCCTCAAGAATTTAAAATATTCTTAAAATAGTTTTAAGAATGTAAAATAACTAGGGCACCTAGGTGGCTCAGTCAGTTAAGCGTCTGACTTCGGCTTAGGTCATAATCTCCATGGTTTGTGAGTTCGAGCCCACGTTGGGCTCTGTGCTCCAGCTCAGAGCCTAGAGCCTGCTTCGGATTCTGTCTCATTCTCTCTCTGCCTCTCCCCCACTTATGCTCTGTCTGTCTCTCAAAAATAAATGAATGTAAAAAAAATCTTTTAAAGAATGTAAAATAACTGATTACTAGAGTGATAAGGAAATCTTTGAAGATGAGATACACAGCAAATGTCTGATAAGGAAAATAGTATTTTAGCTTTGAATTTAGGCATTGATTTTTGTTTAAGTTTGAAAGTCAATAGCAAGATATAGGCACATGAATATAAAAAGACAATCCAACAGAAAAGAAAGTGAGATGAATGACTATAAAGAATCAAATAAGGTGGAGATTTTCCTGTGATAAAATTGCAAGAACAGAAATTAATGAGGAAAGGATCAGGGGAAGCATTTTGTTACTGCTCTGTTGTTATTTAATGCAACTATTTGTTTTTCTACAATTGAGTGTAATTCTTAATTCTCTGAAAGAGAAAACTAAAAAAAAAAGAAAAACTTAGGAATCAAAATCTGGAGAATTACTTTTGTTCTTGTAAGTGATGCAGCTCCTTTTCCCACTCCCTGCTTGGGGAATAATTCCACTCCACCTCCACTGCCGCGATGTGGTAGGTCCGCGATGTGGAGGACCTTGGCTGCTCAGCCTGTTGCCTGCATGTGTTCACAGTGTATTTTTGCTTCATGCCTCCCGTATAGTGATCGGTTGTTAAGCACTCAACGTCAAATGTCCCTGAAATGGTATATAAGAGAGCATGTCACTCCTTTGTTCAGCACCTCTATGGCTCCTCAGCTCACCCAGAATCAATGCCAAAGTCCTCAATGTGGCCTCAGTTAGATGATCACATCACCTATCACTCACTCTGCTCTAGTCACAGAGGCCTCTTTGCTATTTTTAGAACAAGTCAAGTATGTGCCTGCCTCAGGGCCTTTGTACTTGTACAAAGTGTACTTTGTACACTCCTCCCCCAATTATCCACATAGTCCATGTTCTCAATTCATTCAAGCTTCCCTTTAATTGTCAGAAAATGTTTTCTCACCTTCCCCCATCAGTCAGCACCTTTTTCTGCCCTATTTGCTCAAACCACTTAGTTTTATATACATATGTGTGTATGTGTGTGTGTGTGTATGTGTATATATATGTTTGTGTGTGTGTATGTGTGTGTATACACACACATACACACACATATAAAATCGCTTGTTGTCTGTCTCCCTGCATTAGAATTTCCACTTCACAAGAACAGACACTTATACATCTTTTCTTCACTGTTGTATTTATACTTGTCTAATGAATAAAGAAAGAGGTGACATTGGACTTGTCTTATGTTATAATGGCATGTAATGAACCAAATAAAGCCTGAAGCAAGTTAGTGTGTTTCACATTTTGGTTAAAGTGCTTTCTTTTTGTTTTTGTTTGTTTTGCTCATTCATAACCAGACCTGCAGGTATCTCTGAATTCACATGGCTATAGTTCTAGTACAGGACACTCAATTGCAAACAACCAACAAGCCAACACAACATGTAGGCTACAGAGAGATGACAAAAAGTTTAACTGCAGAGCTGTTATGGAAGTCATTCCCTTTTTAGTCTGATTTTTCAGCCATCTTTAAAAGGATCATAACTTAAAAAGAGACATCTCGAGGATTCTACTGTGTGGAAGTGGGAGAAACCACAGTCTACTCTTCATTTGTCACACCCCCCACCTCAACAAGCAGGAAATGGACCTGTCTGGCCCATACTTAGCTAATAGTGGCCCAGACATGCTCTTCAAGGGAAGGAAGGGAACTTGGGAGGCTTAGAGAAGGAATGAGTTCATCACCCAACATAGGGTTGAAAACCAAAATGACTGACATGAATTGATTCCATAGAGACTTGTCTTGACTTTAAAGAAATTCACCTTGAGCATCAGGCTGCATGAAGAGTGTAAGACTTGTTTGAGGGAAGAGGTTTCCTGTGTCTCTTCTTTCTCCTTTTGACAGATATGTGTTTCCTGTAAAGTAAATCCCGTGTACATCAGCCTCATTTCCAGCGCTGAATAAGTACCACACGACTGACTCTCCTTTGCACATACTGAGACCAGGCTGATTCCCATACATGAATCCATTCATGGCTGTAAAATTTGGGAAATAATATTTGGAAAGTGGTTTATCTGATGTCCCACTACACGGTGATATCCCAGATTTTCCAGAGCGAACTCTGTTTATTTAATTTTTGAAGACCCATTCATGCCTGCCCACCTCTTTATGTGTCTGGAGTGTCTCTGAGACTTCTTGTTAGACGCAGCACTCCCAGAGTAGTCCCTGGCTGGAAGGAGAAGAGCTGAACACAGAGTCCTTGAAGTTTTGCACTGCTCTTCCCCACTAACTACTTCTTAGTCCTCTCAAGAGTCATATGTGTGAGCTCTCAAATGTATGAATAATTACAGCTGTTCCTGGGCACCGTAGACTGAGAATGTTGTTGCTGCTCTAGGATGGAAAAGTCTCTGATTCATCTTGAATAACAGGGGAGAGTAAATGCAGGAGGTTTTCTCTCACTGCTATTACTAATAGATGATACTCTCAACTCCTCCAAAATGTAAAATTGCAAACTCAAAAGGAATATCTTAATGAGTATAGATAGTACTGACTCAAAAAAAAAAAAAAAAAAAAAAAAAAAAAAAAAAAAAAAAAAAAAAAAAAAAAACCACCAGTATCAGTTTGTAACGCAACTTTACATTTGTTTCTTCTGACTACAGTGATTTTCACATGTAGTCTGTTAGCAGTGTGGGCATTCTGAATAATTAACTCACTATCTAAACCTCTAGAATTACACTGGGAGCTAAAAGGAAAATCTGATGCTAGGTTTCAATTAAATAAAAATTTCTGGAGGTTGCCCTGAGCATTAAAAAAAATGGTTTTAACAATTTTGAAAAACTCCCAGGGAACTCTAATTTATAGTCATTGGTAAGAATCATTAAAGTTCATTTTCAAGAGAGGTTGTATCTTTCTTCATATTGAATAATAAAATGAGGCTGTCATTATGAAGCCACAGATGAGAAAAGCATCTAACCCAGTAATTCTCAAGTTTAAGCAAATATCGTAATGATGGAGAGGGTTTGTTAAATAGATTGCTGGCCCCACCCATAAAGTTTCTGTCAGTAGGTAGGAGTTGGGGCCCAAGAATTTGCATTTCTTTTTTTTTTTTTTTTTCTAATTTTTTTTCAACGTTTTTTATTTATTTTTGGGACAGAGAGAGACAGAGCATGAACGGGGGAGGGGCAGAGAGAGAGGGAGACACAGAATCGGAAACAAGAATTTGCATTTCTAACACGTCCCTGGGTGATGCTGAAGCTGCTGATCCAAGGGCTAGATTTTAAGAACCATGCATCTAATTGATATATTTTGCAGGTTTCATTATTCTAAATTAAGCAAAATGAGGAATAACTGACCGATAGCTTAAATATCAATATTACCCTCAGAGTTGTACATAATCATTTATTTAAAATTAACCAATGGGCAAAGCTATTAGCATTTTGGTTTAATTAAAAGCACTACATGGGCAGTACTGAAATAACTTAATATTGATGGATGATGTATACTTACAGTGCATCTTATTAGATTCCTGAAAGTCTTCATCTTCCTTATCTACCAGGTGAGGTGCAGTTGTAAACATTCTAATATTATCATCTAGGAGTAAACTTTCATTCTCATCAAACACTGTGGGAAATAAATAGAACTCCTTGTCTACATCTTTCTGTAAATTGAAACAAGAACAAGGAAGTGAAAATAGGATAAGCGAAGCAGAAAGACTTGCATGTACACAATACTATTTGTACACAAATTCACTCAAGGAAGGATAAGAAGTTTCCATTCTTCTTTGTAGATGGGGCTCATGAAAGACTCCAGCTGACTACCAGAATTTTCATCAGCATCTATGCAGATTTTTGGTTCAACATGATGTAAGCCTCTCTGTGTGCATAAAAGTTCTGACTCTTCCTGCCCATACCAAGTAAACACACCAAAAACAATTATTAAAATAGGGGGAATATGAGCCTGTGCCAGAAATTAGGGAAGTGACATCCGCATACATGAAAACTTGAAGAATTTCTGTAAGGCAGAGCAGGGGAAGCAGGTAGAGGGAGGAACCGTCTGAAATGAAGAAATAGAGTGCCAAATGAGTTGGAACAGGAATTCAATCTCAGTCATCTGGACAAACATTCTCACTTCCTTTCCCCTTGTCCCTGGTGAAAAATAAGCAAGCAGAAATGCTATCTGGTCTATGAAATGTCCCAGTGGTTAAGAAGAAGGCAATTAGTCTAAGAAATCAAAGCATACGAGCCCCTGAAAACAGGATACTCCCTCAAATAAGAGAAACTTTAGAGATTATTGCATGTCTTTTTTCTGAGATAGTTTTTTTTTTTTTCAGATAAAAAACATGATTATAAAATTTTTAAAATCCAACTAAAGCAGAGACCTGAAGGTTAGATCCTACAGAAAACTGAATCAATGATGGAAATAATGTTAAGAAAGGTCCCATGAATCAGAACAAAAAGATTCAAAGGTATACACAGTAATGATTTCAGAAAGAGAGACATTATAAAGGGGGAAAACATAATGATAATAAACAATAGTAGGAATGTTTACCACCATAAAAAGAAAAGACTAGAATATTCAGATTCAAAGTCTTCACTGAAAACAAGGCAAAAGCAGTTATAGAGATCTGTGCTTTAAAATATTCTGGCAAAATTTTTGAATTTCAGGCATAGACAATTTCTACAGTAATTCATTTTAAAAGTGTTATCACAAACACTGGACATCTCTAGTACAATAAATGTCAGAAGAAGATGGAGTAGCATTTATATTTTTGAGGGAAAAAGATTATGATATGAAAGTTCTATATTTGGCAAAGAACAACAAAAATACATTCTTGGGTCTCGGTTGAGCAACCAATTCTTGATTTTGCCTAGGGTTATGATCCCAGGGTCCTGGGATCTAGCTCTGCGTTGGGCTCCATGCTCAGCATGGAGCCTGCTCGAGATTTTCTCTCTCTCTCTCTCTCTCTCTGCCTCTCCCCTGCTCTTTCTTACTAAAACAAAATTTAAAAAACTATTAAAAACACATTCTCAGATATGTAGGGATTCCAGATGAGGACTTCTATGATCACTTGAATTCTGATCTACAGAAAAAACTTCAGGGGCACCTGGGGGGCTTAGTTGGTTAGGTGTCTGACTTCAGCTCAGGTCATGATCTCATGGTTCATGGGTTCAAGCCCCGCAGAGAGCTGTGTGCTGACAGCTAAGAGCCTGGAGCCTACTTCAGATTCTGTGTCTCCCTCTGTCTCTGCCCCTTTCCTGCTTGTGCTTTCTCTCTCTCTGTCTCTCAAAAATAAATAAACATTTAAAAAAAAGAAAAAGAAAAAGAAAAAACTTCAGTGAGAAGTTTACAGGTCATGTTTTCTGGTCATGATGAAACAAAACTAAAAAATACTAATAAAAGGACAAAAAGTTAACAAAATTAAAAAGATCATACTTGATCCAAATTACTCTTAGATAAAAGAGGAAGAAAAAATGAATTACTAAATATTTAGTAAGCAATGTCCATGAGAACAAGGCATAATGTATGGAATATAACTAAATATGCAAACTGAAAGTCTGAAATGCTTTTTAAGTAAAACCAAATAAAAATAAATGTTTATGAATATCTGAAAATTTTAGAGAAATAAAATGGGAAAAGAAAATAGGAATTAATAAAGGCAAAAGCAGAACTGTTTAATAAATTAGAGCACAAATTAAAATGGTTAAACCTAAAAATGTATTCTTTGAAAAGACTAATAAAACACACAAACCTCTGGCAAGTCTAATAAAAAAAATTGGGAGACAACCCAAATATACCACATTAGTAATGAGAAAGGACTATAACCATATATATGGGGGAAGGAAAAAAGATCATTACATACAATAAATGTGATAAGTTGATTTAGAGCAAGGTAACTGAATGGACCAATATCCATGGGTCAAATAAAAATGTGATTAAAACATAAACAAACAAAAAAACAAAAAAGAAAATCCTAACTACTTCTTTTTAACAGTCACATACTCGAAAAAATTTTACAGGCAATTTCTTTCAAATCTAAGGATCAGGTAATCGCTATTTATTTAAACAGCTGCAAAATACTAAAAACATGGAAATAGTCCCAATTTATTTAATTAAGATAGTATAAACATGATGTAATAACTAAAAAAGCAAACAAAATGCAAAATAATGTCACTTATTGTTTAGGAGAGAAATTGAAAATAAATTACTACCAATTTACTACAGAAATATACTGAAAAAAAATTAAAAACCACAGTGCTCAATGTTTCTCCCAAGAAATGCAAGACTGGTTCAATATTAGGAAATCTTTAATGTAGTTGGTCAGGCTTATAGGTCAAAGGAGAAAAGATACATAATAATTTCAAAGAAATCTAAAAAAATTTTTAATAAAATTTGATATTTTGACCCTAGCTATTCCCTCTGCTTTCCCTCAGATCCTTGCAAGTCTATCTCCTTGAAATTTAGATCTCCTACCTCAAATATTACATCCACCCTATCTAAACTCGGATTCCTGTTCACTATCACATTACCCTAAATAGAAATTCCATGTTCATGAATAGGAAGACCCAACACTGCCAAGTTGCCAGTTCTTCCCAATTTGATCTATAGAGTCAATGCAATTCCAATAAAAATACCAGAAAATTATTTGTAGGTATCAACAAAGTGATTCTAAAGTTTATATGGAGAGGCAAAAGACCCAAAATAGCCAACACAATATTGAAGAATAAGACTGAAAGACTGACATTGTCCAACTTCAAAAATGTCTACAATACTATAGCAATCAAGACAGTGTGGCACTGGGGCACCTGGGTGGTTCAGCTGGTTAAGTGTCTGACTCTTGATTTTGTCTCAGGTCATGGTCTCATGGTTCATGAGATCAAGCCTCATATCAAGCCCCATGTTGAGCTTCACTTTATGCTATGCACTGACAGTGTAGATCTTTCTTGGGATTTCTCTCTCCTTCTCTCTCTTCCCCTCCCTGGCTTGCATATGCTCTCTCTCTCTCTCTCTCCCAAAACAAATAAACATTAAAAAAAATAAAAAGACAGTGTGGCAATTGGCAAAAGAATAGAACAATAAACCAGACTAGAAGTAAACTCACAGTCAACTGATCTTTGACAAAAGAGCAAAGGCAATACAAACAAAGATAGTCTTTGGAACAAATGGTGATATAACAACCGGACATCTACATGCTAGAAAATAAATCTAGACACAGATCTTATGCTCTTCACAAAAATTAACTCAAAATGGATCACAGACCTAAATGTAAAAGGCAAAATAATAAAGCTCCTAAACAATAGCATGAGAGAAATTCTAGATGACCTTGGTTGTAACTTTTTAGATACAACACCAGAGGCACAATCTATAAAAGAAATAATTGATACTGGACTTCATTAAAATTATAATTTATGCTCTATAGAAGATAATTTCAATAGAATCAAGAAAACAAGCCACAGACTGGGAGATAATATTTGCAAAAGACACATCTGATAAAGAACTGTTATGAAAAATATCAAGGAACTTTTAAAACTTCAACATTAAGAAAACAAACAACCCAATTAACCAATAGGCAAAACACCTTAACAGACACCTCACCAAAGAAGATACACAGATGGAAAATAAGCATATGAAAAGATGCTCTACTTCATATATCATTAAGGAAATGCAAATTAAAACAACAATGGGATATCACCACACACCTATCAGAATGACCAAAATCTGGAACATTGGCAACACCAAATACTGGCAAATATGTGAAACAACAGGAACTTCCATTCATTTCCACCAGGAATACAAAATGGGATAGCCATTTTGGAAGACATTTTGTGATCTCTTATAAAACTAAATACACTTTTACCATATGATCCAGCAATTAGGCTCTTTGATATTTACCCAAAGGGGTTGAAAACTTATGTCTACACAAAAACCTGCACGTGAGTGTTTATGGCATCTTTGTGCAAAATTGCCAAAACTTGGAAGTAACCAAGATGTTCTTCAGTAGGTGAATGGATAAATAATCTGTGGTACATCCACACAGTGGAATATTATTTAGCACTAAAAAGAAATGAGCTATTAAGCCATGAAAAGACTTGGAGGAAACTAAAATGTCTTTTACCAAGTGAAAGAGGTCAATCTGAAAAACCATATACTGTATGATTCCAACTAAATAACATTCTGGAAAAAGGTAAAACTATAAAGACATTAAAAAGAACAGTGGTTACCAGGGGTTGGGATTGGCATTAAGGGATAAATAGGTAGAACACATGGTTTTTAGGGCAGTGAAAATAGTCTACATGATATCGTAATGGTGGATACTTGTCATTATCCATTTGTCTACACTCATGGAATGTAAACACCAAGAGTGAACCCTAAAGTAAACTATGGACTTTGGATGATAACAATGTGTCAGTGTAGGTTCATCAATTGTAACACATGCACCACTCTGTTGGAAATGTTGGTATTGGAGGAGGGTGTGGGGGATGGGTAGGGAATATGTGGGAAATCTCTGCACTATTATTACTTATTTTATTTTATTTTATTTTATTTGAGAGAGAGAGAGAGAGAGAGAGAGAGAGAGAGAGAGAGAGTGTGTGTGTGTGTGTGTGTGTGTGTGCAGGGAAGAGAGGCAGAGGGAGAGAGAGAGAAAATCTTAAGTAGGCT